ACGCTGGATTCGAACCCAGGTACTCATCGGTGCTGGCTCATTGGCTCTGAAGCCAGAGCCATCCCGATTACCTCCACTGTGTGGACATTTTTTTGCATGTATAGAGTTTTTTTTGGGTTGGAGCACGTAAATATATAAATGTATCGTTAAAACCCGCCACCACCCAACACGTGACAACCCTTACTAATTGGCTGTGTTGGGCGATGGCGGGTTTTCACGACACATTTATATATTTACGCGATCAAACCCAAAAAAAACTATTATGAATATATGCATGTATGGTAATAATAACTATTATGAATATATGCATGTATGGTAATAATAAAAAGCAAAAAGGACCTTTCAGCCCCTATATGGTCTTAAACGGTGATAGAGCAGGTCCAATTAGTCAGCACCTATTAAGGCCGGCACAAGAAACAAGGAGTGATGTGTGCGAGCACCAGATCCTGCGGTCCCTCTCCCAAGTATGGCTCTTAACACGTTCACAAACCAGGTATTCATGTCGGACCAAGCGGACCCTAGAAGTCACGCTCTTGGCAGGCTACGATACGAAGTAAGCCAATAATGTTCATGGATGGGATCAAACTCAGCTGACTGATTACTCGGCTTGGAACAAGTCACCACCCATCACGATTAAATTAAAATCCACCCGATTCAGGGTCACGATTACATAAAATAAAAACTTTTATTTGTATCGCGGTGCCTTTTCAGTGGCTATCGGAGGGTGGCGGGTGATAAAAATCGTGAACCCATTACATACAACATATGGAAAAATTAAACAGATTTCCACAAACGATCATTGCATACGCCAACAGACAATACCACAAAAACGCGGCTTACAAAATCTCTTGAACTTTAGCTTCACATAATAGTTTAGCCCACCAGCTTAGTCCTTGCAGACCCGTGTTAAGCAGCATGGATGTGTTTGAGCAGGTAACACATGGGTGTCCAACACAAGCTGACTTGCCGTACAAAATGCTGCCAATGTTGTTATTGGGACTGAGCGCTCCACCGAAACATGTGTTTATAATACATGAAGGGTTGAATTGTGCAAAACAAATTAAGGCTTTTATCACGGAGGATTCACATTTCTAACTGCCTCTAATCAGAAACTATCACGGTATTAATCCATCTAAGAAAGCTTCACAAAGCCTCACCGAGCCGAAACTTTTCAACTTAATCCTGCATTATAATGTTTGGCCAATTACTTTGTAATTCGTGTTTCTGATTATGGGAACAAACAGATAAAACCCTTAGTACCAAGGCCATGAGCCAGCGTTACGAGGGGAGAACACTCAACAGATCTGCACACACAGATTAACTCACCTACTTTCTGAACTTGTCACTATGTTAGTTGGCAAGCTTCACGAATTGACTGCGTGTTCTGCCAACCCTTGGCTTCCAAAGCGCCTGAATTCAGCAGGTAAGCACCGCTATTGTCATTGCATTTTGGTTTCTGCCTCTGTCCTTTTTTATAATAATTACAAAAAGCCCTCTTTACTTACTTGCCAATGAAATCTGCACCAGAGTCCAAAGACTTTATTTTCCCATGATAGTGCTGCATTGGAATGCTGAGCAAATACCATTCACGAGTTGTTGGTATGTGGGAGCACTCCTACATCAGTTGAGAAAACCCACATTACGTACCTAAAAGGCAGTAAATAACATTTAAAAAAAAGAGACTGTTCAAATCATCAGCCATGGTTAATCCACTGCTGGATGAAGGCCACCACCTCCCACCCCAAAGCTGCCACCCTCTTGCGATCCTGCGATGTAATACAACTATAGCATCTGCTCCACTACCTGATCGATATTTTTATGTTAACTTGGTTTGTTTTTCCTGCCAATAGCTTTGAGCTCCCTTCGGTTATGTTGACGTGCAAACGGCATCTCAACAGTCCCGAGGTTTACACCATTGGTACCTCATTTGCCAGTAAAAAATATAATTGGTTTTTTACCCTTTTATCTGGCAACAAAACTGACACCTTTTTTACGAGGAGTCATGTTTGCATAGACAACAATACCTGCAGTCATAATGCAAACAAAAAAAACATAACTCTGATAATGTATGCACTGTCCTTGAAGTTGATTGGTCCACACCCAAGACAGCTTTCCTTAGAGCCTAGTCTCACATGGGTTGGACCAGATGACGCCAAAAGGCTAGGCTCTAAGGAAAGCTGTCTCGGGTGTGGACCAATCAACTTCGAGGACAGTGCATACATTATCAGAGTTATGTTTTTTTGTTTGCATTATGACTGCAGGTATTGTTGTCTATGCAAACATGACTCCTCGTAAAAAATGTGTCAGTTTTGTTGCCAGATAAAAGGGTAAAAAAAACAATTATCAATTATCAGTCCCGAGGTTGCTTCCAGTGTTTGAAATTATCAAGGGGAGCTCCATCTCCGCATCCACGTCTTAAAGACTATTTTTAAAAAAAACATGCAGATTGATTCAGGAAACCCATTACTGTAGTCGTCTGCTGGCCACCTTGCAACACAAGTCGACAACATCGGAGTATTCCCAGGCGGCCTCTCCCATCCAAGACCCATTCCAGGCTCCAGCCTGCTGACATTCTGCAGTCCGACAAGCTCTTGGTGCATTCAAGGTGATCTGGTCACGAGCCAAGAATAATTCTGGCGTGCACCAATGCTCTTGCAATATGCAGCGGCGAGTTAGAACTAATGTAACGTGTACTCTCCATTGTTATACTGTACATCCTCCCGTCCCATCAATGTCACATCCCTTTTACTATTCTACAGCACCGGAGAGCGATGAGATTGTATTTCAAAGTAATTTCTTGCAAGTCAAAAAGTGGTTTCTGTACGCAAGGATTCCCCGGTACACAGACTCTCCGGTGGGAAAGTTGCTCATTGGCGAGCACCTCTTGTGGCCGGAGAGCGCACGAGGGCTTGTTTGTGGCCAGCGCGTCAAGGCTGATGATGAATAATGCTTCGTAGTATACGGAGCCATTCCCTTACATATTAAGATGTTTTCAAGTAACGGAGTGTCTATACATTGTGTGGAAATGTTCACTTCGGCCAATGGAAACATTATCCAAGCTTCCCAATATTGGTGCGGTTGTGCACTGTGCAGTCACCAGCATAAGGGAATATAGGTCAAGTTCATGGCAGCTCTCTCCAGAACACAACAACCACACTCCCTCCACCACGACTGCAATGCCGATCTGAACCACTCTGTGCAAGGCAGGCCTGTACACAGCCCAAAAACAAAACAAGACAAAGCTCCTGTTGGGGCAAGTGTTGTTAGCAAGCACCTATGAAGGCCGTAACGACACACGAGGGTGTGGGTAGCCAGCACCACGCCCGGCCGCCTTTGTCTCCCCAGTGGCGATATTTACACATCGCACTAAGTACTCATTTGAGACTGAATCGAGCTAGGAGATACCCAGGACCAGCTCACATAATTGTCACTGGTTTTTGCCATGAGCAGGAATCGAGCCCAGGGGTCGCCAGTTTCGTAAGCACAGCACGCTAACCGCGACACCACCGCTCCACACACAGTACACCAGCACACACCCTGCAGATATTCCAAAAGCTGACAACAAATTCATGACATTCTACCAATGATGATGATTTTATGATAAACATGCCGAGTTTTCTGGTTATCTGTGCTCGGGAACCAGCGGTGACAATACCAGAGGTTGAGAACCAGTCCTATCATATCGCTATCCAGTAGCAGACGAGCATTGCAAGTTTTGAATGTACAGCTGGTCCTAAACGCAGAATCCTTTTTTCTAAAACTGGCTAGATCGCAACCCTATCCCCTAAACCAGCTACCGTATCTCTCTCTCTCTCTCCCGCTCACCCTCACCCACCAATCAAAATGCCATTAAACTGGCATGGGTGTCCAATTATGATTTGTCGCTTGGTTTGCCCCATCGCCCGGGTCCTCGGGGGTCACAGACTTTTATAATCTAGGCAGGGCCGTTCCAATTCCAGCAGGCAACTGTGGGAAAGGATGAACAATTCCATCAGCAATTAAGGTCGACAAAATAGTTGGGAGCCTCCGAAAACGAAGTTATCAAACTTTTAAAGTTAATGATTATCTGCATTCAGAATGATAGGTCTGACTATAGTATTAAGCCTTAAGGTTTTAGAGATTCCAGTACTATAATTGCTTGTACTGTGTTCATACATCTAAAACACGGAACCTAATTTTAAGCAGATACATGGCATTTATGAGAAGGGAAAACCGACTTGGAATAAAAGTCTGTTTCAAAGAAGGCCTCTGTTTAGATTGAGTGAGTCCGAGGATCAACAGTCATATATTTGACACAAGGCCAATATTAGTTTTAATGGTGCAATGATGTAAAACTGTTGCAAAACAAATGGCTCAATAAAGTTTGTTTAACATGGAATGATAACAGCTGTTAAACAGTATTGTACCCATTTTGAAAAATAAAATCTAACATGAAGAGTTTTTCTGAAAGGTTTTTCATTGAGGTCTAAGTTAATTAATGCAAGGTAGAAAAGAAAACCATGAGTTACTGGAGAAAACCCACCCATGCATAGGTAGACAAGAATAACACCTAGTAAAAACCCACCCACGCATATGATTGAATAAGACCCAGCGAAAATCAACCCATCCATGCTTATGAGGGAATAACATCCCTTTAAAAACCCACCCATTCACTGCGTAGGTAGAAGGGAATAACATCTTGCGAAAACCCCCCCATGCATAGGAGGAAATACACCAAAAGCTCTGCGTACGTACAGATGCAACAGTCCATTGCTGTACTGTTCTATACTGGTCACGTCCCTGCCCCACACTTGGCATTCCAAAGCTGCCTCCCAAGTTAGGAACCAGACTCAACTCTGCTTAGCTTCCAAAACCAAAAGAGGATCCGGCATAAGCGTTCAGGGCACTTCCGCAGTAGGCATCAACGGCGTTGTTGTAACATGTGAACAATGCCACACAATTCTTGGTTACTCCACAAAAAGCAAACTCGGCCACTACGTTCAGCGCCACGGGGCCCGTACCGGAAAGCCATCGTTAGACAGGCCAGAGTCCTGGATGTTCTCGTTGTGCCCTGCCTGGGGCCTGTAGCATCCCAGCTCTCCATCCGCCATCACCGACATCGCCAGCGGAGACAACGCGACCACCGCCACAGAAGCCAGGGCTGACGATGTTGAAGAAGATGAAGATGATGACGACGACGACGGAGGCTGCTGTGTTGGTGGCACGTTTGTGGAAAGAGTTCTGGGCGTGCAAGCCATGCACGTTGGGGAGGTCCTACGCTGCCGGTGCTGCTGGTGGTGATGCTGGTGGTGCTGCTGCTGCTGCTGTTGGTGGAGGTGGTGGTTGTTGTGGTGGTGGTGCCGAGCTCGGCGAACACATGCGCCGGCCCAACAGCAGCAGAAGCCGGCCATGAGGCCCCGTGCACGGTATAGATGGGCCATATCTTCCCGTCGCATGTCCAGATCGATCCACACCGCGCCTCCTACCACCACCACCTCCACCCGCAACCACCATCCACACCCTGCAACCACAACCCACGAGCTGCAACTTGCACTCACAACCAACTACAGCGCAGGTATTCACAACCACCATGCAAATCTTCATTTCAACCCCCACCACCTGAACCCAAACATAACTCGATCTTCTAAGAAGAAAAATCACAAACATGAAGTCACGGTCGTCATGCAACTAGCACCACCAACCACAACCAAGACTCACAACCCCACATCTTACACATTCACGATCACTTTCCACTCCTGAACGATTCTTACACCCACAACAACTGACACTCAAAACCCACGACAGAGAGTGCAACCACCACTTTAACCCTCCACTCACCAATTACTCGTGCCATTCGCCACTAGTGACGGTGAGGTCACCAAGGCGCCTGTGCCAGGCCAGGTGCACTTTGAGGCCACGTCAAGTGTCGAAGGGTCTCGCTTCACCTCACCAGCACCATCCGGACCCACAATCAGTAACTTGGCCTCACAACATATTCCAGTCCACAACTCACCACATCACCAATTGCACCCACAACCAAACATTGCACACACACACACACACACGAGACAAAATACGCAGTGACAACCACCATTCAACCCAACACAACTAAACCCACCATCAACAAAATCAACAAACACCTTCCCCCATTATAACCACTGAGCGTGCAACCTCAAATGGACACCACCACCACCACCATCCCATTGCAACTTCCAACACAAGCCATGGGTTGCACTGAAAAGCCAAAGCATCAACTTACATTCATCAGCGTTTAACCTTCAACCGACGTCGCTCACACACACACACTGGACTGAAACCGAATTAGCATTCACAACCACCACCCACCCTTTAGCCAACACCACCGACAACCACTTTCTAGACACCACAACCACACATTGCACCGACCACTTTCTAGCCAACACAACCACACATTGCACCGACAACCAAACTCGCGTTCGCAACCGCAGCTCTCTGAACCTTCGACCAACAACTAACGCATAACCGCATCCACCAACTCGCCCACATCCACCCACCTCTTGTTTACCACCACCACCGCACCTAAACCTCATCGCAGACCTCTGCTCAACTATCCCACTCACCTCCACAATTAACCACGACCACCGCTAACCTCTACGACAACACCCAGTCACTCGACCACCAAAACGCGACCACCAAAACGCAACCACCGCCAACCAAACTTTGCTCGCCACCACCACCACCACCGCTCACCAACTCACCAACTCGCCTCCACGACAGCACCCAGAGGCCCCCTTTCTTTCTTTACGGGGTAAACCACCACGGCGCCAGCCACCTCGCCGCCGTGGTGCCTCGTGCAGCGAGAATTACCATCGGGGCGAATCCGCGGCGCATAAAAAAAAGTGTAAGGCCCAAGCAAAGCAAAGGAGGGCACACACACAGACTGCGTAGGACGATACGAGACAACGGCGGAGTAGCGACGCCCTATAAAATAATATATTTATTATTAATGCTAATCGATTGTTGCTGCGTAGGCTGGTCTTAGAAGCCAAAGTGAACTTAGCGTTGGATGTTCTCGTAACTGCTACGAACCCGATAATGCAATCCCCTGTGCGCCCCTTTGCCTATTCATCCTCCTCCCTTACACACACGTGGCGCAAGAGATTTGTGTGTAAAAAAAAATGTTTTATATAAAACTACAACAGCCGAGAGACATTTCTCGTTCAACCTGTCATTTTTTATAGCAGCTGTGTAAGTAAAAAAGGACGACTTGCAATGGCGGTAAGGACTCGCTACGGGTTATGTTGAACTGGCAAAGGAAGAAAGCCACGCAGAATGCGTAACCACGTGGAGGGGAGACCTCACACGCAGACACCACCACCACTACCACTGGAGTGGCAGAGCCAGGCCCCGCCTACCACTCCCCGGCCAGTAAACAAAGTGAAAAATAAACACGAGGACAAAACCACTCGGCACCAGTCGGAGGGGGTGTTCGGGTTTATTACAGAAAATCAGACGCGCGTGTGTGTGTGGAGGGGGAGGGTTGCACAACATGGTACGTCCCATACTCTTAGGTTTTTTCGGTAAAGTCACGTAGGTAAAAATAAATAATAAAAATTATAGAAATAATGATAGAAATAAAATAAATTAATTTTATTAATAAATAATCCAAATAAAAAAGTAACATTAATTTATTGTTATAATACATAATAAAAATAATAGAAATAAAAATAATAGAAATAAAATATTTCTATTTTATTACTATTATTATTTCAATTATTTTTTTATTTTTACCTAGGTAACTTTACCGAAAAAACCTAAGAGTATGAATCCTTGCAGTCACGAAAGCTTCAAATCTAGAATGGTATGTCCCCGCCTCCTCCCATTGCATCTCCACCATCACCCACACGCCAGCAATCTGCTGCCCAATGCAGGCTATAGGATGGTCCAGATGTCTTGTGACCCCCCCTCCCCCAATTAATTGGGTGGAGAGGGTGGGGCTGGGTGGGGAGGGGCTGGGTGGGGAGGGGAAGGTGGGGAGGGGCTGGTGGGGAGGGAGGGGCTGGGTGGGGAGGGTGGGGAGGGGCTGGGTGGGGAGGGTGGGGAGGGGTTGGGTGGGGAGGGGTGGGGCTGGGTGGGGAGGGGCTGGTCACCCCGTGGTGCCCTTATAAAACTCAACGTTTAACCTACTCACGCCGGCTTGTGCCCGCCCTCACAGTCGGGCATATTTGCGGAATACACCACGCCGCCGTTGACCCTGGCCATTGACCGAGCAACCCAACGTTCCTACCAGCTCCCTCCGCAGCAGGAATGTGTTACAATTGCGTTATTGGGACACGCACTTGCAGTTGTGCACGTGTGGTGCACGTGTGTTGCAAGTGTGTCCGAACAGGTTTGCCAGAAACGATGACGCATTAATTACTGGATTAGTCTTGATTTGAAGCTTTCGTGACTTTACCGAAAGAATCGAAGGGTACTGCATTCGTACCGATCACCGATTCGCATTTCCCCGATAGCCACTAGGGGCGCTACCATTCACCGCAATGTTAAAATAAAACGTGTTTTTTAAAATATATATACCGTGATGTCGTGTTGGCAGTGGTGCACAAGCACAAATAACAAACCAACAAACAAACTCACCACATCCGTCAATAACACCGTGCAAAAGGTCCATTACCAGAACCGTCGCCTATTTTACGATTTTTCCTATTTTAAGGTAGTGTCGTTGAGTTAAAACGTTAAAAGTTATACATAACTTTGCTCGAATCTGCTCTCACGGATTCGCTTGGGGCAAAGAAAAAGGGTGAGATTAATCGTTTTATCCCTATGAGGCTATAGCCGACACGTGTCCCAACACGACTGTGTGCTAATTGCATAGGGACGGGAGTCATGGAGATTGGGGCATTTTATTTTATGGGCCACAAATTTCCATGAAAAGCATGGTCACTCTGGTAGCTATTTATTGGGCGGAAATGTCATTACAGAAGGGTTCCGTGGCGAATTAAAGGGGAATATTTCGCAATAAAAATACCATCACGTGATATGAAAACATCTTGGAAATATGAAAAGTAATAGCAAGTGTGTACAGGTACAGCACTGTATATAAAACAGATGGTATGCACAGGTGATACTGATTCAACGCCCCTTGGCTCATGGGCAATTAAGTTGCATTTCAACTTTCAATCATCAAAGAGCAAACTAGACTAGTGTACAGCGATAGCTGGCGAGCCATTTGTAATTGCAGGTGCTTCAAATGTTTTAAATATGATTATAGTTTATCCTTTGAGTCGTCACACCAATTTGCTGCCTTTATTATCATCATCGGCACGCTCTCGTGATCACGCACACAAGGGACACGCTTTGTCTAAGCGTTCCCAAATGACTACGTGCCCAGCAGTGGAAAAAACATCCCTGTCAAACTATACCATTTACCCGTATTCTTGTACGGGGACATTTTCTCCCTTGCGATGGGGCTTTTTAGGATGCACGTTGAGATGTATATGGGCACGGGGTGACCAATACTGTCTGAATTGGTCTGTAATAAGGGCACTTATAAGGGGTTGACAATAAACTCATTACTGTCGTGCAATTTCGCCCGTGTGAATAATGTATATCTGAACTGTATTGGGGTATAAAAGGTATTCATTTCTCATGGAGTATTTTCTGTCACCCTTCTCCCCAACCCACACAATATGAAGCCCTATGGACTCCGGTTACATCGTTTCCTGAGCTCAGCCCCATACAGCTCCTTGTAGATAGTTTAAAACCCACAAGAGGCCACATCGCTATAGGTCAAGCCAGCAACAGTAGACAAATAATCCACAATATTTAATCATACGTGATATCAAAGACTCATGGCGACCCAGCACAATACGTGTTTCCCCCACATTCCCCAAATCTTCTCGGTTAAAATAAAGCACATGTACGGTACAGGGTGGCATATCCACCCTCACGTCTACAAATCCATCGTGGTCACATGCTGTACACAGAGTACTGTATGTAATTAATTCGTAAACTCCTCGGGTACAGTAAACATACCTGTCAACCCATCATGTTTATCCCGTATTCTTATACAGGCAAATTTAGTTTTCAGGTCCATACGAAGTACAGCCGTTTCAATACGGGCACAAACATTTTTGTTTGTCTATTTGTCTGTGTTTCTTCCTCGTGATGGGAATTTGTAGGATAAATGTTGAGATTTATAAGGGCACGGCGTGACCAATAATGTCTGAATTGGTCTGTGATAAGGTAGGGCACTTATAAGGAGCTGACACGCATCACGGTATAAGCAGACATCCACTATTTTTGCACATTATAATATAAACATGGTTTATAGTCCTTTCAGCCTATGAGCTTTCTTGTTGCCAAGAACACTCCATATACAGTATATACTACGGGGGGTTTTGTATGGTAATTCCTCGACACATTCAGCTCTCGTTCTGCAACAATAAATAAATGATTGCAAAAACCACTACGGCACCATATCTACGCAGTTCCAGCGAATCGGGGCTCAATATTCAATTATCTTGTTATTTCACGGTAATACTGAATTATCGGCCACTAGTTGAGCAAAACAATTCTCGTGAACAAACACCGCTCTGATACAACCGTTTAAACACGCGATCGGATTCATTTTTTTCGAGAATATAATTCAAGTAAATTCAAATCCTACTAAATTGTTTAACATTTTTGGTTCGATCCCTCCCACGGAATTTGCCCTCCCCCAAGACGTCTGGCTTGCGTGGAAGAGTAGGCCAATATCGTCTCTCGAGTCGAGAGTGGTTCTCCGCAGAGCTCCCTTGAGTGGGAGGCCCTTCCACCAGCAGGGACTTGAGCCAGACATTGCAGGGCTGGAGCTTTACCCAATTCCAGCCCATGACCAAAATTCACCTGCAATGCGTCAGACCTCCTTCTTTAACGACCCGGACTGTCTACTGTGGTGAAGTATGGTCACATTATCCATAAAGCATGTCACACAATCCGCCCTAACCAATTATCGATTGCCACATCGATCATTTCACACAATCGCCCTTAGCTCAGTCCCCATTTGCTAACATGCCGTGTTCAGAAGCCTTGATGGTTAATCTTGTTACTGCTGTTCAAGCCTTGCACTTGAATCAATCGACCAGCGCCCCTTCACAATACAATCGTTACTGAGCGCTTCACGTGTGCACGTAACATTGCATTCATAACATCTGAGATACGCAAAAGCGTTAAAGGTATACACAGTTCAAAATACTGTATGTAAAAGAGATTGCATAATACATTTTGAGCTTGATTGTAAAAAGGCCAGAGTCTCAACGGGCTCTCGTCTGCTTGTAATAACATGAAGGATGTAAGATGATGTTATTGCTGATGATGATTATTAGGCGCCTGCTGATGCTTCTGATGCAGCTACTGCTCATGATCACATGACGACGATGATGTTGGACTGATGGATGGATGAATGCATGATGATTCAGGTGCTGTTGATGATAATTGTTGATGCTGCTGCTGCTACAAGTTGCCCATGGTGGTGATGATAGGTGATGATGACGTTTGAATGGATGATAGTATATGAATGGATGATGTTGGACTGATGGATGGATGATTGCATTATGATTCAGGTGCTGTTGATGATAATTATGTTGATGCTGCTGTTGCTACAAGTTGCCCATGGTGGTGATGATAGGTGATGATGACGTTTGAATGGATGATAGTATATGAATGGATGTTGGACTGATGGATGGATGAATGCATGATGATGATTCAGGTGCTGCTGATAATTATGTTGATGCTGCTGCTTGCTACAAGTTGCCCATGGTGGTGATGATAGGTGATGATGACGTTTGAATGGATGATAGTATATGAATGGATGTTGGACTGATGGATGGATGAATGCATGATGATGATGATTCAGGTGCTGCTGATAATTATTTTTGATGTTGCTGAAAGTTGCCGGTGGTAATGACAAATGATGATGACGTTTGAATGAATGATGTTGGACTGATGGATGGATGAATGAATGCATGATGATGATTCAGGTGCTGCTGCTGATGATCTTTTGACACTGCTGCTGCAAGTTTCCGGTGGTGGTAATGACAGATGATGATGATGATGACGTATGAATGGATGATCTATAAAATGGATGACAATATATGAATGGATGATGTTGGACTGATGGATGAATGAATGAACACGTGATGATTCAGGTGATGCTGTTGATGATATATCATCAACAGCATAATGCTGCTGCCAGTTGCCCGATGGTGGTGATGACAGATGATGATGACGACGTTATGAATGGATGATGATGATGGATGAATTAATATTCGGCTGGTGATGTATTCTTCTGACGATACGCAGATACAACAATCGTGTCCACTCACCAAATCCAGACTGGGCATCACGGATTTGCATCCCCCCA